TCCCTTGGTTTTAGCAAGGCTAGCAACCGTAGATTTAGCAGCCTTTGGGGTCAGAAGGAAAAGAGACAATGAGTCCCATTCTTTCTTATGAGCTCTAATGAGTCATAGAGATAGTCTGTTTTCCAGGTTAGAGCTCTGTCTCTGACAGGCTTTAATTATCTGTGAGCCAAAGCAAGAAGGGATATAAACATGCAAAAGCCTTTCAGGAACAGGTTTTTGAAGGAGATGAATCACCCAAGTCGGTGTCCTGCTTAGCCCTTTGCTAGGGGCCGGCCCCCTCTCCTCGCTTGCCACTTGATCATGTGACAGCTGTTTGCAGACTAAAGGAAAGAAACAATCATTCACTAGCAGGAAACTTAATCCTGGGCAGGTGCAGTTTGAGTAACGACTCTGGGCCCAAAGGTCAGCATGGTTGCAAAGACCTAAGCTTTTGCAGATGGTCTGAGTTGGGGGAGCAAGATCCATAATCCTTCTCCCATCTGTAGCCCCCAGACCGTCCTCTCCTCTGGGATAGTGCAGCCATTTCTCCAGATACTGCTGAACTTTTGAACTCAAGTACAGTGCAGTATTAGCATGTTTGTTTATAGGTTTCAGATAAAGCCATAGCCGATTTTAAGGAAACAGTAGACAGATCCATTTTCCTTTTCCTCCAGTGATGTTAGCGATCTAATTAGAAGTCAGTGTTTTAGCAGCTTCCTCTGTATGTGCTTTGGGTTCTTTTTTTTCTAAAAGTCACTTATGGACACGAACAAAAGCCGGATGTTGCACTAGCGCTTCTGAACAAGTGCTCTGTGTTAGATATGTCTGGAGTTTACAGACCAGGCTTTCCTCTGCACAGACTAAATGAGATCCTGTCCGGTGTTATGACTCCTTATCTTCATTGTTATTTTCACTCTTTAAAACTGTCCCTCTGCCATTTTATGTCATATCCATTACTAATGGCTGCTTTTTCTATTTATATTGCTTGGAACTAATTGAGATTGCAGGTGCACAAGCGTGTCACACCTAAGGGCTTAAGTACATGGAAAACCATAACAATACTTCAATAATAGAGGATAGCAGTCACCTTTGGGGGGGGGAGGTGGGCAAAAAAACAAGTATGGACTGCAGAAAATATCAAATATATAAATTTGTAGTGGTTAGAGTCTAGCATTTTCTCAGTTGCAACCTGATTTATTGAAAGCTGGTTTTTGGGGAGAGTATAAAATATTTGCTAAACTAATCTACTTTTCTGAATAGCTCCCTCCCTTCTTGTGGCTTAGTGACTGACACTTAGAAATCCACAATTATACTGTATAGATGAGCCTTGTTCTATATTTAGTATATAATCTCCATGCTCAGGGGCTACATATGGCCATGAGCACCCACTTAAGAGCTAAAAATGTAAGTTACTGCCCACTTTATCCTGAATCGGAATCATACATAATTGCTCTATGCTTTAAAAATCTTCCTTTGAGGAAAGAGTTCAAGATCAAGTTAGTGGGCAATCCTTTATATGAAGCCAAGTGTCACTTGGCCCTTGGAAGAAGCTAAGTAAAAACTTGTTGAACAAATAAAATAAATGAAGGAATGACATCCCTGGAAGGATTCACACCTCTCATTGCTTAATCAGAAAGTGACATGGTGAGTCAGGAAGCTCTAGACTCATTCTATAAGTAAACACCCATGACGAGGTGGGCATAGAATATCTAGAAGCAGTCACTGACAGGCTAGGCTACTAGAACTGGTAAAAATGGAAAGTAAGGAAAGTCTAGTGGCTTCTAAACCTGGTTGTTTGTCAGAATCATCTTGTGAGTTCTCAAACAAAACCCACCGATAGCCGGACCTAACCTCCAGAATCTCTCATGCACAGCTAGGGAACCACTGCCTTTGTCCCTACATCAGAAATGCTCAGGATGAGGTGATCTGGGTGTGGTGGTGATTCAGGGAGAGCATAAACTGGAGAGATGGTAAAGCTCTACCAAACACAAAGCAAAGGAATTACACCATGTTTTTGGTTTGTTTTTAAATTGATTCTGCAAACATTTATTGAGCATAACACATTGCATCACATGTTGGGATAAAAGTACACAAAACAAAACTCGTTTCTGCTGATGGGCTCACAGACTTTTCTTGAACAGAATCGCAATGCCACTTGTCCCATGTGTTATGGACTTCTGAGCACAATTACTATAGGAACCTAGAGGAGGTATAAATAACAGCCGGATTTGAAGAAGCCTTCACGGGGAGGTAATATTTAAACTGGCATTCTGAAAGATGAAGTAGGGTTTTTTCAGCAGTAGGAAGGCTACAGAGGAGATGAGGAAGATGAAAGAGCATGTGCAAAGACCAGGAGGTAAGAAAGCACTGTGTGTGGGGAATGATGAAGGCAAAGGGTGCCTGGAGGCGAGAGCTATGCCTGTTGCCAGTACCTTTGTTTGCTAGACTAAGGCGTTTGGGATTTTATACTGTGAACCACACTCCCCCAGAAGGGGAGAGGGAAAGGTGTATGGGTTTTGTCTCCAACAAAATGGAAGCCCTCTGAGGGTGGGGAAACTTATCTTCCACAGCTTATTCTCATTCTTGGCAGCATGCAGTAGGCACTAATAACTACTCTTTGAGTAATTAAAAGATGTTTAATATATGCTTCATTAAGCAGAATAATCAGTTTTCTCTGAGAATGCTTGTGTGCCTTATTTTTCTCCTTTTAATAAAAACAAAAATAAATTAGGGGTATAAAAAATAATTAAGGGCAATCTGCTAGATCTTCACTCTTTTCCCCTTGATAATTCTTTCATTCTTTTCTTATCTCACTGTTGGATGACTTTCTCCCTCGACCCCAGCCTCCTCCCATAACATCAAAGTGAGCATAGTCCACAGAGTTGAGAGGGTTTAGAGCTAGCCTGTTTTTCTTCACGTAGCTCCCAAGATGGAGCCACAGGGATATGGGAATGGAAGGATTTTAAACATTTGTGATCCCTGCCCACACCATCTTCAATCCTGAGAGGCCTTCACAGACTTCTTAAGATGTAAAATGGCCCATATCCATAGGCTAGAGGTGCTCTTTCTAAGAGCTTTCTTTGTGTTTATTTTTATTGCTGGTTTGTTTGCATCTCTGCAGAATTTTCATGAGATAGAAAAGGAATGTGTTCTTTTTTTCTCCTTTTAGGATGCCAAATCCAGGTGGGGAGTAATGATCTTGATGAATTCTAGCACTTGTCAAATTGAAAATGTTCAGGGAAAATAAATGAAAGAGGATGAATTTGTTTATATGCCATCATTCAGTGATTCAAAGCACAGACATTTCTTTCTTACTATACCTTTGAAGTTAAGGATTGGAACTGAATAATAGACAACCTTCCAACATGAAACATGATCAAGCTTGAGGGATTTTATTGGGTTTTTTGATAATTCATTGTTTTCTAGTTTGCCTTTGTCTTTGATCACTTATTCCTCTGACAAAAATCTGATCATGTTATTGCTTTCCTCTTTTCCCTAAGCTTATTTTGTAGAATTGGGAATTATTTCTCTTTTTTCCTTTCTCCTGCAAATTTTGTTGGTTGCAAATAAACTAAGTATTTATCTAGATGTAGATAGTTTAAATCTATCAGTCAGTTGTAAATCTGCTTTTGTTTTTCCTTCAGATGTTTTCAGTTTTCTCTTTAAACTTGTTCACGGTAAAGAATTTTAGTATAAATTAAAATAATACCTGTTAAATCTCAAAGTGGGCTCAAGTTTATCTTTGCTTGGTAAAACACTATCAGTGCTGCTTCGAATTAATAGCTAAGTGATATTGTGGTTGATGTGGTGAGGTGTTTAAAAATCGTAGAGTGTAAACTATTTTCAAGGGTCCTCAAGTACTTCAGAAGTCTCTATCTCCATAGTAGCATTTGATATGGTAATTATATGCGATTCTCCTGGGTGCATTAAAATATGAGCCTAAGGCTCCACCAATTTGTTAGCTTCTCATAGGTTGAAAGAAATGAAATTGCTTTGCTTTAAAAAATCTAATTCAGTACTTTCACTAATTCAGATGAGCTTTCTCTCTACTCTTCTCCCAAGAAGGTAACGAGAAGAATTATTTTTTTTAAGTACCTCTGAGAAAATGAGGTGGTCCAGCCATGTTGGGGAGAAGATGTGGGTTATGTTGGAAGGTGAAGGTGATTTTTTTTTTGGTGAGGAAGATTGGCAACATCTCCCCTGAGCTAACATCTGTGCCAGTCTTCCTCTGCTGGACGCCGCCATAGCATGGCTTGATGAGCAGTATGTAGGCCCACACCCAGGATCCAAACCTGTGAATCCCGGGCTGCCAAAGTGGAGCATACCAGCTTAACCATTACGCCACCAGGCCGGCCCCAAGTGAATGTGATTTTTATTGCCTTGGTCCTAAAAGACCTGCAGTTTCAAAGGCGTGGTAATCCTTTCCCTCTTAGTTCCAGCAACCTCTATCTCCATGTTTCCAGAAAGGAGATAATATACTTTTTTTCCTAAAACCAAAATAAAAGTTTCCATCATCTCAAAAAGACAGATTTTTTTTTTTAATGGAGGAAAAACAGTTTGACAACAATTCCACACAATAGCCAAAAGATGGAAGAAACCGAAGTGTCCATCAACAAAATGTTGTGTACGCACAGAGTGGAACATTATTCAACCGTAAAAAGGAAGGAAATTCTGGCACATGCTACAACACGGATGAACCTTGAGAACATTATGCTAAATGAAATAAGCCAGTCGCAAAAGAACAAATATTGTATGATTCTGCTTATATAAAGTACCTGGAGTAGTCAAACTCATAGAGACAGTAGAATGGTGGTTGCCAGGGGCTAGGTTAGGGGAATGGAAAGTTAATGTTAAATAGGTACAGAGTTTCAGTTTTGTAAAACGAAAGAATTCTGTGAGTGGATGGTGGTGATGGTAGTGCAGCAGTGTGAATGTATGTCATGCCACAGAACTATATGCTTAAAATTGGCTAAAGTAGTAAATTTTATGTTATATTTTACCATAATTAAATTGGAAAAAACAACAAAAGGGAAAAAACCACTAATACTGTTTTAATACTTATCAATTATAATAATGTAAAACGAATTTGTCATTTTAGCTGATTTTCGATGTTTATACATGCAATATAAGTTACAAATATGTTTAACATTATGACACCATCTTAAAGATGTACACAATTTTTGATAAAATTATTACATTTATTTATTTATTTATTGATTGATTGATTGATTGATTGATTGATTGATTGAGGAAGACCAGCCCTGAGCTAACATCCGTGCTCATCCTCCCATTTTTTGCTGAGGAAGACCGGCTCTGAGCTAATCTCCATTGCCAATCCTCCTCCTTTTTTTTTTCCCCAAAGCCCCCCACTAGATAGTTGTACGTCATAGTTGCACATCCTTCTAGTTGCTGTATGTGGGACACGGCCTCAGCATGGCCCGAGAAGCGGTGCGTCAGTGCGCGCCCAGGATCCGAACCCGGGCCGCCAGTAGCGGAGCGCGCACACTTAACTGCCAAGCCATGGGGCCGGCCCCCAAATTATTACATTTAATGTAAAAAAAAAAAAAAAAAAACCCAACCCAAGTCCAATTAGATTTTGTAACTTGTGGTACGTGTGTGCCTCCTGTACAGCTATTTTTCTCACTTGGATTTCTGATATAAGGTAAATAAAATTGCTATTCTTTTCTTTTTTGAATTTGGAATTCCTGGAATGCTTGAAACTAGATACATGTTCAAAAACAAAGGATTAAACTAAATGAGTGCTAAAGTTAACATGCACATTCTGATTTTGTGGGTCTGGGGTAGGATCTGAGATTCTGCACTTCTAACAAACTTCACCTTCAGAGGTACTTGGAAGCCTTTGGATGGTTCTGCTTTCCACGTGGCTAGTTTAGGATCTTGCCTTCGCTTGCCACTCCTCAATCTGCTTCCTGGCTTCCACGATATCTTTGCTGTTGTCATCCTCGTCTTTTTGTCCTTGTGGATTTCTGCATTCTAAAAGTTTATTTTAGTGGATTATTATATGAAAGGACGTAAGGATGTGTTCATCTGCAACAGGAACTTCCCAATCCCCTTTTGTTTTTTTGTGGCTCTGTGTTGTTGGGAGACGGCTGACTAACTTGGTAGGATCATCAGCATTCCCCTTTTCCCTCAAGTTCATTTGCATGAATACTTATTGAGGACTTAGTGTGTGCTGGAAATTGTGCTTGTCCTCAAGAGTTGATAGGTATGGCTCCTGCCTTAAGCAAACTAGTTGGATGGGCATTGACCCAAAGATGGAGGGAGGGGAGCTCAGATAACATTGTTGATCAGGCATGTTCTTACAGTGTTTTAAATATTGTAGGTGCTTGAAATCTTCTTTCGCGCTAACTCTGTCACTGTGCCACTCTCCTCAGGTCTCATCCCCAGATCACCCTCCTTTGTTTTCCACTGTTATTGATACAATGATTAAAGTGAAAAGAATCACTCTATTCTTCCCAGTTTCAAGCTATAGAATATGCTTGTTCCTATGGAAGGTCTTTCTAAATTGTGTCCATGCCACTTCATCACTGATATTTCAGATAGACATATTTTGTAATGAGGCAGCGTTGGGAGGAAAATAAACATGGCCTTATAGCATTGTGTGGAAGGCAAAATTCTAATATGGCCCCCAAGATCCCTTCCCTGACCCCTTACTGCATATGCACCCTGGATAATCCCTGGCACTGTGAATATGATGGATTTTAAGTTGTTACTTGGCAGTGTTGACCTTAAGATAGGGAGATTATCCGGGTGAACCTGACCTCATCACATCAGCTCTTTAAAAGCAGAGAGACTGAAGAGAGCCTACAAGGATTCAGTGTACCCTTGCTGGCTTGAAGATGGAGGGGGCCATGTGCCAAGGAATGCAGGCGTTCTAGAAGATGCCTGCCAGCAAGGAAATGGGACCTCAGTCCTATAACTGCAAGGTACTGCATTCTACCAATGACAAGAATAAGCCTGGAAGTGAGATTTTTTTTTTCCCCCTAGAGCCTCTAGATGAGAACTCAGTCCAGTCAACACCTAGATTTCAGCCTTGTGATGGGCTGAACAGAGAACCTAGCCATGATGTGCTTGACTTCTGACCTAAAGCACTATGAGCTAATAAATGCTTGTGGTTTAAGCCACTAAGCTTGTAGTAGTTGGTTATGCAGGAAGAGAAAACTAACACACATTGCATATTAGTTTGCAAATGCATTCAAACAAGAGTGTACAAGCTGCAGCATGAAAACAAGCTAATGCTGCTTAGCCAGCTGGACAAAGGAAGTCCAGCTACCTTACACATAATGGAAATAAAAAATGTCAGTGATCTGGAGGAAGTATCAAACAGTGGAAAGAGTTTAGATTTGGAGAAAGGAAACCTGAGCAAGTCTTGGCTCTTTTACTTCTTAGCTGAACAAGTCACTCACTCGTCTAGGCCTTGTCTATAAAGGAAGGAGGTTGACCAGATGGCGTCGCATCACAACGTAACTACTGGTTTTATTTACCAAGCAATGTACTCAACTCATTTCAACTCACCCTTAATCCAGCCTGGCCCTGCCCCACTAGGTATAGAATGAGGGATGTCTGTTGCCTGGCTTTTTTTGGTAGTTTTTTTAAAAAAGCAGCTAAAATTTTCTGGGTTTGTTTTTTTAGGACCAGTCAAAAATGTTCCCATGTCAGATCAGCAGTAATCTGATGCTTGCACCAAAAAGCTACATCAAAATATATTACTTGTAAAAAAAAAAAAAAAAAAGTCTAAGATATGTTCCAGTTCTAACAAAGCCCATGTCCATAAATGGCTTTCATTTCCTTAAAATCCAGAGATTCCCTTTTTTTGTGTGTTTAAAATAGACAACTAGAAATTGATCTTGAAAATCTATTTTTGAAACCCAGAAATATTTCTCTGCCTGAAACACCTGCTCATCAGAATTCATTTCTATCGTGTTTCTGCAGCCTTTTGGGGTGGGCACATAGTCCTTTCTTGTGCATCGCTGTGCGTGAACCTAGTCCCTTGAACTTAAAGTTGTGTGTATATCCACGTCTGTGTGTCTGTATGCTGGGGTTTTAAAGGACGCGGTTGTCTGGAGCTCTCTGAGTTGCTAGTCTTTCTCCTATGAGGTGATTCTTCCCTGACCTTAAGGATCTTGTTCACATTGCAAAATAAAAATTTGCAGAAAATTAAAGATACTTGAGTTATAGTATTTCAGGAATATGACGATGTTGCAAAGCGAAAAGGCCAATTCTGGAGAGTTTTCTTTCCCCAACGCCTAGAGCTTCTTTCCCTGCTGTCAACTAGCTGCTGGTTTTCGTAAACAGGACTGTAAGAGGGGAAGAAAGGGCCCCACAGCTCAACCACCGGGAAGATAATGGAAAGGCTCTGTCTGTTATTAGAAAGGGAGAAAAGGACCACCTTTTTAACCGCCTCTCAACACGCAGGGAGCCTCGAGGAGTGTCTTCTAGTGTGGCAAACGAAGCTGCCTACGTGGCTGTATTTAAAAACAAGACCTTCTGAGTTGCTCTCCTACATATTTTAAAACACATGATAAAAAGGCCAGAGGTGTGGGGTCGGCCCAGTGGCGTAGTGGTTGAGTTTGTGTGCTCCGCTTTGGTGGCCCGGGGTTCGCTCTTTTGGATCCTGGGTGCAGACCTATGTGCCGCTCATCAAGCCATGCTGTGGCGGTGTCCCATATAGAAAATAGAGGAAGATGAGCACAGATGTTAGCCCAGGGCTAATCTTCCTCAGCCAAAAAGAGGAAGATGGGCAACGGATGTTAGCTCAGGGTCAGTCTTACACACACACACACCCACCCAGAGGTGAAATGGCTCCGTCGTGTGGTCACGGCTCCATCATAGACATTAATGAAGCCCTTCTGTCACCCAAGGAGCATCCCCTCCATCTGTACAAATTTCCCCACTGGAGCAGAGCTGTGATGTGGGATGTTTCCCCCTCCATCACTTCCAATTTTGCCCCAGCCTTGCTGTTCCTCATCTGACATTTGGCTTGTGAAAATAACTTTTGTGGAGCTATTGTCTCTTCTGTCATTTTTTTTTTTTTTTTTGTGAGGAAGATCAGCCCTGTGCTAACATCTGCCAGTCCTCCTCTTTTTTTTTTGCTGAGGAACACTGGCCCTGGGTTAACATCCGTGCCCATCTTCCTCCACTTTATATGGGATGCCGCCACAGCATGGCCTGACAAGCGGTGCATCGGTGCACGCCCAGGATCCGAACTGGCGCACCTCGGGCCGCTGCAGCGGAGCGCGTGCACTTAACTGCTTGCGCCACCAGGCCGACCCCTCTTCTGTCATTTTTAAACAATACCAGAGGGTGATGGGGAGGGGAAAGGGAAGTACAGCTCTCACATGAGCAGAGGCCTATTTGAGAGTGTGCAAAAGCAGTGATTTTCTGGGAACAGTAATCTAGTTTTTCTCCCTTGTCCATTCACCATTAGTAGAAGTGACGTATTTTCTGGCGGTGGTTCAGGGACCAAAACCTCAGGCTTCTTATAGTCTGCCACATTTTTGAGAATGCTGTCTTACAAGTATATGCCATGACGCTCATTAACCATTACTGCCGTTCCATCCTAGTGACAACCACCCCAGTGCTCTGTGCTTGTAGGGTTACAGCAGAGTCCTTCTTTGGGTTTGTTGTTTGATAAGCACTTTGCAAACAGTTAAGCTCTATGCAAATTAAACTTCAAGCATTCTTTCCACAATTTTATTGAGCATTTATAGTTTACTTTTACTTTTCTCAGTCTTTATATCTGTGCTTTATAAAATTGAGGGGACCACGTTATCAGTAAAAGTGGTTTGGTCTCAGAATGCTTATGTATTTAACTCTGCAAAATTCCTGGTGCCCAAGGTAAGTTAATGCAGCCAATCTTATTTTACAGGTTGCCTAACCTTCCACATTACCAAATTCTAGAGTTTTTCAACTATGGCTATAATCTTCCATGCTGCAGCCTTGAACCAGTGTACCATCTTCAGAAAATGTTGAGTTTGGGAGAATACCTAGTATCTCCCTGACACGATGGGAATGCTTCCTTCCTGAGACATTTATTGTTTGCTTAGTGGAACTGGAATTTCACCTGAGGTCTTAGATTTGCATACTGGTTTCCCATACTCCAGGCAAATTATTTCACTTCTGGGGGCCTCAGTTTCCTTATGTGAGAAATGGGTATAATAATAGCTACTTCATAGTGTCTTGTAAAATTAACTATCAAGTACCTGACACCAAGCCAGGTACTTAGTGGGCAACATATGAGTTAGCTGTTTTTTTCAGGTTTGCCTTTTAAGTAGAAAACATTATTTTATCAATGTTAGCTTATTCTCTTGTGGATAACAACCAAACAACACCAAATTATATTTTATATAATGCTTTTAAGTGCATAAACTTACAGCATTGGCGCTCCCAGGACATATCTTTACATGGTATTTCCCTTCCTTCATCTTCCTGATAATGTTCCTAAGATTTACTTGGGGCAAGTCACAAAGAACAAACCCAAGGAGGGGCTCAGCAAAGGCCTGAGACGCCTGCCAGGCCTTGGGGTGGAGAGCTGCACTCCAGATGTTCCTTGTTGGGCGCCTTCCCCATCTCAGTAGGAGAGGGAGCAGTGTGTCCCCTATGCAAGCTCGAAGTTTGACTTTCTTGGCTATTGTTTAAGGCGTGAAACCACATATAATGCAGTTAACGAGTAGATCAGCATGTTCCTTTTTCCCTTAAAAAAGGAAAGATACACCTAAAATGTGGATGCTGGCTGCTAGCAGTGGCTTTGGGAGTGTCCTTGAAATCAGGGCTGCTGTGGCAATGAAGTGTCAGTGTGTCGATTTTAGTTCAGTCCTTTGCTCCAGACTTCAGCCCGGCGTTGTGTGTGGCCTTGCCTTGGCTTCATCCTCGGCCTGGTGAGAGTGCCAGGGTCTCTCCGCTGCCAGCACCCACCCCATGGCCGTGCAGGAGGACTCCCTTTGAGATCTTTGGAGGAGTCTGAGAACTCCTGCAACCTACCATTCCCTGTCACATTTTGCTTCAGGTATCTCTCTGCTGCTGGTGAAGGCATTTAATTTTTCTTCTTTAGAGATGCATAATCTCGCTGCGTCCAATGTTCTAGTAGTCTCCTTTTTCCTGTAGGGCCTTGTTTGTGTATCAACAGCTCAGATCCTATCCTGTTTCTTCCTCTTCTCTTGCCCACTTCCCATCCCTCATGGTTCATGGGTAGGTAGCAGGAAAGGCTGATGCTGTTACATGGATTGTCAAGTTCATGGACTTGTAGGAGTCAAGGCCTAGTCTAACTCCTCTTCTTTCCTCTTGATTTCCTTGTGTTCTTGCACCACAGGGTAGGAACTCAAACTGTAGAAAGTGAGAAATCTGTTGGACTGTAGGGGAGAATGTTCACTAGACTAGAAGCCACAAGACTTGCTTCAAGTGCCCACTCTATTTTCTAGCTGGAAGACTCTTGACAAGTAAGTTAACCTTTTTGAAACTTCAGTGTCCTCGTAATAGACATAATATCTATCTTTTTTCTGGGGCTGCTGGGAAAATCAAATGAGATAAAGTATATGTAAGAACTTTGCAAGTTGTAAAATGATTAACCAACCTGTCTAAGGCAATGTGCTAAGTGCCATGGGAGAACTAGTTCACCAAAATAGTGAGAAAAAGTGTAGGATTTAAAGTGAGAAGACCCAGGGTTGAGTTCCAAATGTGGCACTTACTAGTGATGTGACCTTCAGTAAATTATTTAACTTCTTAAAGGTTTACTTTCATCATTTTAAAAACAGAGGCAGTAACGTGAGGCATAGTGTCATAATGTATTGTTATATATCAAAAATTATCATGTAGTGCAAATAATAGCTGTTTCATTATTATACTCCAAAATTGTTGAATGTAGTGATTCAAAGAAATAATTATTGAATTTACCTAAAAATACCATATTATGGAATCCTGGGAAAGTAAGGAGTATTTCTTGTGATCCAGATTGCAATTAACATAGAGTAAGGGGCCTGTTTTGGAATCGAGAAGTTAACAGGACACCAGCCAAGTTCCTTTAGCTTTCACAGAGATAATGGTGCTCTCAATTAATTAAGCACATTCTTTTCCTTTATCTCAAGTTCCTAAAAAAAAATAAGAGTTTGCTATTTCATTCCTTCTCATATTAGGCAAACCTAATTGGATACCTGTGATACAACTTTTAAACCCTTTGGTATCTTAATGTTCGCGTCTTTAACAGGGAGATAAAAATACTTGTCTTACTGGGTGGGATTGTTGTAAAGGCAAAGTGAGATAATTTAAGGATAGCTTTTTGGAAACTTGAAAGCTAACAAATATATTATTGCTATCATTTCAATATATTTTGAACCAAACAGAAAGCTTTTGTCCAAAAGCACTTTGTTTTGGATAGGCTAAAAAATACTAAAAAAAAAAAACCTAAAACAAAACTAAAATGTATCGAGATTACTTATTATTTTTAAATTATTTCAAGTTAGGGCCGGCCCCGTGGCTTGGTGGTTAAGTGTGCGCGCTCCGATGCTGGTGGCCCGGGGTTCGGATCCCGGGCATGCACCGAGGCACCACTTCTCTGTCCATCCTGAGGCCGAGTTCCACATACAGCAACTAGAAGGATGTGCAGCTATGACATACAACTATCTACTGGGGCTTTGGGGGGAAAAATAAATAAATAAAAAATCTTTAAAAAAAAAAATAAATAAATAAATTATTTCAAGTTAAAGGTTTGGTTCATCATGGTGGCCTTGAATTTCATAGTTCACAATAATGTGAAATACATTTGAAGTGATCTGTCTAAATAACAAAAATACATTTTAATACTGAAACTTTATGTATGGAATAACAGGAAAATTTATACTGTTCCAACTAGAAACACAAAGAAATCAACAAAAATGCAATTTTAAGGAGTAGTCAAACACATATCAATGTCTGATAAGTCAAATGGACAGATACCAAATAAAGATGCTAAAAATTTGATCAATGTAATTAACAAGAATTAAGAATTAAGAGATATCTTGTATTTTGTACCCTGCTGAGAATGGACCTTTTCACATACACGAGACATATTTCCAAGGTTTCATCGTATCGTTGTTTCTACTATTTTTTTTGCTGAGGAAGAGTTACCCTGAGCTAACATCTGTTGCCAATCTTCCTCTCTTTGCGTGTGAGCCACTGCCACAGCATGGCCACTGACAGACGAGTGGGGTAGGTCCACACCCAAACCCGGGCCGCTGAAGCAGAGCACGCCAAACTTAACCACTAGGCCACCGGGGCTGGCTCCGTTTCTACTATTTTTAAATGGATAATTTGTTGATTCTATACCCTTAAGTTGTCTGTAGTAGCTGAGTTACACTTTTCTGCTGTCTTAGAATAGGTGCTTTGGGCTCTAGCTAAAACAAGAGGCTTTGAAAACCTCACAGTCTGATGAGAGCCATGACCATTTGGAGCCAGACACCTCCTCAAAGAGCTTATTACTAAGAGAAAGCAAAACTGATCGTTCTGCCACCAGTTACCACTCCCTACCCTCACCCCTAGTCTTTTCTAGTCTGCACAGAATGTTGGGGAAGGGAGGAGAAGAGAAAGGCTCATCAGCGTTAAACCAGGAGTGAGAGGGAAATTCCAAGAGACTCACCTGTAGAGATTGGGGGTGCTTGAAAGGAGGCATGACTGGCATTGGGCTTCCTGGTTGAATATCTGCTCAGGTAGACTTGCCTGCCTGCCCGTGTGCCTATCTGGATTGAGAAGGAGAGAAGCAGTGAGACACAACAGGAGAATGGGCTGCCAGTGGAGCACTTCACATATCCCCTGTTTAGCTTGGCAAGGATATGGCAGTTCTCCAAGGGTGAAATGAACGCTGCAAATGGTAGTTGGTCTTGAGCCATCGTGCTAGACTGTCCCTAAGAGGCTGGCTTCTGGTAAGGGGATTCAGGGGTACATGGAGGAGGTTGAGCCAGAGCTGGGGTCAGATCTACCTCAGAAAAGCTGTGCAGTGAGGAGTCCCCTAGGGCCCTCAGGAGAACTCACACACCAGCCAGCATTAGCTAGAGAAGTGATCATGGCTAGTCACATAGGGAGACGTTTGCCTTTCCCTTCCTACCAGTTGCTTGCAGGAGGAGGATGAACTGGAGCCCAGAGGAGGGAGGAGGAGAGCAAGTAAAAGAGTAGGTCCCAACTGTCCCTGTTACACTCCAGGTCATAGCTTTTGGTGTTAGGGTGGGGGCTTGCATAAAACTCACAGTTGAATTTGAGAATAAAAATTTAAATTGGCCTAGAGTTTTAATAACCAAAAGTTACCCCCAAAATTGTGGGATCTACCCAAGATGTCATTAAAGATGTTAAAGGAGTTTAAAAATAGAGCAACTGGTGGGGCCGGCCCAGTGGCGCAGCGGTTAAGTGCACGCGCTCTGCTCTGACGGCCTGGGGTTCGCAGGTTCGGATCCTGGGCACGCACTGATGCACTGCTTGTCAAACCAGGCTGTGGCAGGGTCCCATATAAAGAAGAGGAAGATGGGCATGTTAGCCCAGGGCCCATCTTCCTCAGCAAAAAAGAGGAGGATTGGCATTGGATGTTAGCTCAGGGCTGATCTTCCTCCCAAAAAAAAAAAAAAAATAGCAATTGGTAGCTCTGGCGTAAGTAAAGCCATTTCCTGTTAATTGCCCACTGAGATGGTAACAATGCATCCAGTTTCACAAATTCTCCCCCTTTATGTCATTATGATATCAAATATTCATTCCAATATGCAAATTCCTCCCAGTAATGTTGGTATTAAGTGATTAGCCTCCAGGAGGTTTATTACTAAATTTGTAGCCCTTCTTTATATTGTCTATGATGTGACGTGTATATGAGGATGAAAAGATGACTCAAGGCACTAGATGTTTGCTTAAGTGAATTATTTGTGGTAATTCAATGGCCTCTTCATCATGAATGGAAATATCTTTATTTTAAGAATTGAGTTTCTATTATCGGAAGTGTGTAGAACAGATCCCTGAGACATATAAAAGATACTAGATAAAATAATACAGAGAGATGAACATAACTATTGAGTTGAAGGAGCCTCCGTGCTCCTTATTTGCTTAAGGAAGACTGTAAGCATTTATATGATACCATGTCAACACAGCTTAATAAAAAGCTACCTCATAAAAGGAGTAACAGACACAACATGTCTTTCCTGATGTTTTCCAGAGAGTCAGTGAGTGAATTGAGAAGTGGATCCAGGATTTCATGTATCAGCACCATAGGTTTTATCTTTTATATAATCCTTTTTTTCTGTTACTGTCAAGATTTTAAAGGGGGATTACTGTTTGAGTTAAAGAGAGCAGGCAATTCAGGCATACCACACAAAGTTGTTAAATCTCAGAGGCTTGAGATTTCTTGGCTCCTTTTAAGTTTTGGAAGCAGGGCACTCCTAGGGAATGCTATTAGGAATTGGCTTCATGGAGAAAATGCAGCTTTTGGGCAGTTAGCTTTTGAAGCTGAGAGAGGATAATAGTTGGTGAACGTGAAGGGGAAAGTTGCTTCAGGTTTAGAAAATGGAGCAAGGAGGTGATAGTCCTGTGCAGGCTTTTACTGTAATAGTTCTTTAGCAGGGCCAAGTGGTTCTCCAGGTGGAGTTCAATTTTCCATTGCGCGCATTTTCTGAGTTTTGATAAAGCCTGGTTACCCTCTTGCGGAGTGTCTATCTCTTTGTGCCCTGATTGCTAGGGCTGTGCTATCATCTTGGCCAACTGCCCATTTCCTTTGGGTCTGAAAGGAATAGTTTAATTTAATTCAGATTTAACAGATTTAGAGCTTGGAAAAAAAGTATCTGCAGCGGCTCTTTTTCTTTCTCTACTTCGCGCTGTTAGAGGTCCTGTATCCAGTGGATAAATCAGAATACAAGTTACACAGAGCAGCACACACATCAGGTGTGAGGGTGGAGAGGGAGGAAAGAAGAGCTATCCCATCTATGCTCTCCTGAGCGTGAAGTTCGAATCTAGGTGTTGGTAGAATAAAATATAGATGAGCGAGAGAGAGAGGAAGTAGGACTGTGCGAGTTATTGTAGAGGAGGCATTCTGGGACAGTTTTCTACTTGAGATGAAAGGACTCCATGGAAGCAACTGGAATGCCTCAGAAGGCCCCACCTCGGGCTTTGTGCAGACTGTTATTATTGCTTAACTGGCATTGACTCACCTTGTTAAATGTCATCTGTAATATGGAGATGGACTTATTCCTTGCCCCGAAGCTACTGGGAGCCTAGTTAGGAAGACACGATGTAACGCACACACACAGGTACCTACACCACAGAAGAGGAGTGTTGATGTCATTCAGTTAAGTGTTTGCCAGTTGGAATGAAGTTACCTTGCTGGGAGTCCTCTGCCAGAGGGTTAAGTCTGCTGAGGAGAAATTTGAAATTTTATGTGACTGCAGTGCATCAATAGCAACATTTTGGGGTGGTGCTCATTGTACTACGTTTTGAGGAAGACTTCATTCTTGATATAGAGGAGGAGCCAGCTAATGGCTCTCACCCTCCATGTCCTTTAGTGTGAGGGCGTTTTTTTTTTCTGCTGGGGAAGATTCGCCCTGAGCTAACATCTGTGCCACTCTTCCTCTATTTTGTATGAGGGTTGCTGCCACAGCATGGCCACTGATGTGGAGTATAGGTCTGTGCCTGGGAACCGAACCCAGGCCCCCGAAGCAGAGTGTGCTGAACTTAATCACTAGGCCATGGGGCCAGCCCCTTGTTTTTTTTAGATGGTATTGTGCTGGGATCATAAGAGTGCTTAAGTAGGTGCATTGCTAATTCCACTGTATTAAATCTTCTTAGAGGCCCGTGAAGGTGTTGGCCAAAAAGTCCAGGAGGCTCCCTCTGCCAGTTATAAGGGGGCGTAGAAATGGCTTTGAGTTTCAGTTTCCATGTCGGTTGGAATTCTGTGCTAGAAGAGAGCATCTGCTCTTTATTTTACAGTTGAGAAATTTAGTCCCATAGAGGGAGCGATTTGCCCCTTCCCTTGAGATGAGCCGACAGAGTCAATACAGAAATCTAGGTCTTCTGATTCAGCCCAGTGCCTTTCCCTGTGTGTCACACTGTGTCCCTCATTATCTTGAGATTTGCTGGAGCCACAGGGCTGCATAATGGCTGTGCATATGTGGAGTTTAGTGCTACAGCTGAATTAACTCATCATGTCAGTCTAAGTCCTGAGCCCGTTTCCGCAACACGTGGTAAATCGTCACTCCTGTGGTCTCAGAATTGGGTGCCTGGAGGATATCATAATCTTCCGGAACAGTTCTTTCTGCTGCAGCCTCTGGGTGCACTTCTTCTCTGCCTCTACTTGTCTGGAGTCTTGTCTTCTTTGAGGCAGGGATTGAAGGGGTGGAGCCCAGTGGTGCTCATGTAAAGGCATGTAGCCCCAAGGTGAGCCGAATTTGAGCCCATTGAGCGGTATTAACTTTGAC